ATAAAGGAAATGTAAAATACATTGAGATACCACTTCACATAAACTAAAATAACTAAAATTAAAAAGACAGCATCAAATGTTGGCAAGCATGTGGAGCAACTGGAACTGCCTTATACTGCTGGTGGGAGAGTGAAATAGTACAGCTAGTTTCTAAAGGGTACAGTGCTGCAAACACTTCAGTGTATACCTTTGCCAAGCCCAAAATTGTATACTGAAGATCTGTACATTTCATTGTATGCACATTTTACCACAAAAAAAAAAAAGAAAAGGAGAATGGGTTTTAACCTTTGAAATGCATTAATCACCACTAGATCCTACAATAATTCTCTCCTCTCCCTCCCTCCCTGCTTGCCCACCTTCCCTCACGTTACTTTTTTTCCCCCTTTTTTGGGGCAATCCAGCTATGTTAGATATTGTTGGGGGGGACTGGCAATTAATGCAAAGACAAAGAGAACAAATTTAGTTCCTGCCCACTGGGAACAAGTCTAGAATGGGAGTCAGACATGCTAACAACCTAACTGTGGCGATATAATAAATGCCATAAGGATAGAAGAGCACAGACAGGCTGCCCACCCCAGGAAAGCCCGGATAGGCTGCCCAGAGGGAATAACTGACGCCTTGTAAGAGATTGATCCTTAGACATGGTGGGAAGGGCTCTCTGGGAAAAGAGAACAGCGTGTGCAAGAGTTCCAGAAGTGCTAAAATGTGGCGGCTATTAGAGGGGGCAAAGATGAGGTGGGCCAAGTCCGCAAAGGCCAAACCATGAAGGGCCTCTGCTGACCAGCTAAGGAATTTGGACTTTATCCTAAAAAGAAAGGGAACTGTTGAAGCCTTTATCATCTTGTCTTCCTAACTAGATTCTAAATTCTGTGAGATCGGGGTCTGTTATTCATCTTTGTATTCCTTATAATGCCTGGCTATGGCCCTGGAATGAATGGTAGGACAGAGAGTGAGTGCTGATGGATCGCTAAGGCTGTGATAATCTCTTAAAGTCTTGCATGCTTGATTCAGCCACATTATTAAAATAGAATGAGTCAGAGCAGAGATAGTTTTGGAATGTTGGCGAGGGGGATCTTATTACACTCTGGGCATCGTGCCTAGGCACACCCAGTCATTATCTAATTTAATCTATGTCACTCTGCTTGCTCAGAATCTTCCAATGACCTCTGATTGCTCTTAGGATAAAGACCAAAGCTCACAGTGGCCTCCAAGCCACTGTTTGCAGTACATTTTACCTGTTTAATTCCTGTTTATCTCTCAGACCTCACTTCCCTGGGACAACCTTCGCCGCCCCACCTTTCCGCACAACAAGCGAGCCCTCAAAGCTCAGCTTCCTGGGTGATTATCCTGTGATTATTGATTCCCCTTCTGCCCCACTCAAGAATATGAGCTCCATGCTACCTTTTTGTCCTCTCTACCTAGCACAGTGCCTGGCATTTAGTAGTCACTCAAAAAACTTTATTGGTTGCATGAATGACTCCTTGAGAAAACTATCAGAGATATATTATCCCTCACATTTTTCAGGGGAAGAAATTGAAGTTCAGAGGTTCAGTCACTTGTTCAAGGTTGCATAACCTGTAAGAGCCAGACCTGGAACTCAGAGATGTCTGACAACAAACTCCTTGTCTTTCTGCTAACATTCAGTAGGCTGTGAGGGCAGCATATGGATGTGGTCTCATGTTTGCATCAGTGTTGTGATTCTCCCTACCTGTTGAATGATCCGTAGAATGAACAGTGCAGTGATTAAGAACATGGATTCTGTAACCAGACAGTCTAGACTCTGGTTCTTCCTCTACCTGTGTTACCTTGAGCAAACTACTTAATCTCTCTTCCTGGAAAATAGGGTATTATTACCCACTTTATAGGATTGCTGTGAGGATAAGCTAAATTAACTCATATAAAACAGTAATGCTAAGCACACACAATGTACTCAATGTACTCAGTAATTGCTAGCTGTTACTATTATCAGCATCCATTAATTCCTTTGCATTTTTTTTACTGTAATCTAAAAATATACCCAGAGGCCCTACAGCAATTCTTTATTCTTTTATCTTATGGAAATTCTCTTCTCGCATGAAACCATCTGCCCCAAGTCCTACTTCAGCTGTGTTCTCTCAATTCAAAATTGGCCACTTACGTGCCTCAGCAGAAGCAGAAATTTTCTATCTCTAACAGCAAAATATGGTAATATTAATATTCTTTGCTGTGAATTTCTAGGTTTTAGGATTCACAAGTTTCTTCACATCTCAGCTATTAGCAAAAATACAGTGCCATAGTATAATAAAGGGTGCAACATTAATAACTGTTCTGTCTTACAAATCCTAAACCTTTTGCCCAAACTAAGCACAGTATTATCCAGCTGTTTGAATAACTAACCTGACCCCAGACCCCTACCCCAACGACAACAAAACCCTAATTGTTGGGAAGTGATTTATGTCACCATTATTCTCCCCATTCATCAATAGGTGACAGCAGGTGTGCCTTACAGGAAATTAAAAAAGGAAGAAAGGAAGAAAAATAATTGCTTCACATATATAATGGTTGCATGCCAAAACTTTAACATTTTTAACATAGTCCCTCGTAACGGAATTTTTGGTAAATATCTTTGCGTTCCTTCCCTGGTTGTTCATTGTTGAAATTCTGAACTAGCTTTTTGTGGTTAGGATGTAATAGTGTGTGGGTATGTGTTTTAGTGGCTAACTGTTTACCTTGTTCTTAAAAGAAGATCTGTGTTTAAACGTTGAGAGAAATAACAGCAGTACAGTTGTCTCCCCACCCTCACCCCACCCCCTGTACCAGGCATTACTGCCTGCTCAGTGGAGCTGCTAATCCTCACAGCAGCCCTGCTAGAGAAATGATATGCCTCTCCTGGAGGTGAGGAAGTAGAGGTTTAAGGAGATTAAGACATTGTCCAGGAAGTCTGCACCCAGTATCAGGCCTTCCTGGCTCCGCCTTGGAGGTGTGGGTGTTCACAAGACAGGGCGCAGGGGATAACCTGAAGCAAGCCTGGCGAAGTACGCTGGGGCTATCCATGGGAGAGCGCCAAGGCAGGCGGAGGAATGTAGAATGAATGCATATTGTAGGCAGTGTGGAACTAATGACGTTTTTGAACTGAGAGCTCAAAACAGCACAGGTGCTCTCTTTTTCAGGCAGTGGTTTTACTCGTGTTTTTTTGGGTTTTTTTTTAAGCTGAGCCATCCTGCTACCTGTTGGCAGCTCAGCGGCTGCTCAGCTCGGGCCGGGAATTGAACCGCTGTTGCACAGAGCTCAAACTCTTGAGCGAGCTCTTAACCAACTGAGCCACTCCGGCCGGCCCCAGGCAGTGGTTTTAAAGTGTGATCCCTGCACCAGCAGCAGCAGCCACATTTGGAAACTTATTAGAAATGCAAATTCTTGCGCTCCCTCCCACGTGCTCCATCCTAAACACTGAGCAACCCGTGATGTAAGGAATCCTCTAGGTGGCTGTGATGCTGGCTCAAGTGTGAAGATCCGCTGCCTTCCTGAATTCTGGTCATGCTATAGGAAGGAGTAGAAGGGGAGGGAGGCACTGTGGGGAGGCTGTTGCCCGAAGCCGAGAGAGGTTGTTAGGGCACGAGTTTGGGTGGTTTCGTTGGAACGGAAACAGGGAAAATCATGAGACTTTTCAAGGAAGAAATAATAGGACTTGATGACTCAGTGGAGGTAGGGGTATGAGATGTGAAGTCAATGTCCACACGTGGCTGAATTGCAGACACACACCAAAGGCATTGCGAGAGGAACTTGTTTATGCTCAGCAGGAATCTAACCCTTATTATGCTTTAATTTATAACATCTTTTTGTGTGTATTACTCACACCCACCAATCTGCTACCCTCAACTAGATAACTTCCTCTATAGGGATAAAAATGGACCGGATACTCAGTACCAGTAATACCACTGACCACCGATTGAGTTATTAAATGCCAAGAACTTCCCTCTAAGCACTTTATATTCATTATCCCATTGTTGTTATTCATTAGTTATGGATGTTTGTAAATTGCCTTCCCTTACTGTCCAATCTAAGCCACACGCCGCTGTAAAATTAATGTTTCCAGACACTGATCTGAGAGGTAAGTCTGGGCTCTGGAGTCAGATAGCTCTGGGCTGACACCCAGCACATCATTTACCAGGTGTGTGGCCCTGAGCACGTTACTTACCCAGTCTTCCACCTAAATCCCCCCACAGCTGTATTAAACAGGGATTCTTATTACAACGAGGATGTAATGATGAGTGGAACTCTTAGGGTTGTTGTGAGAGCTAAATGAGAAAACGCCTGCATGATGCTTGGTACATAAAGTACTGAATAAATATGAGCAGAGTTTATATGGTGATGAAGATGACACTCCCTTGCTCAGAACCTTCATTGGCTCTCCTTGCTCAAGAGAATTAACTCCTTAGTCTGGCATTTAAGACTTCCCACAAACTGGTCACTCCCTACCTTTCAAACCTTTTATGGGATGATTCTTTGCGTCATCCTGGTGCTTCAGCCATGCTGGTCCGAGTTCCCCGAACGCATCGAGTCTGTTACCACATCCCGACCTCTGGTTCTGTTCCTTCCGTCGTTTCATCATGTCCAAAATCCTTCAGGGCCCAGGCTGACATGACAGTCAGTGTTTGTGGAGCCATCCCCAGCAAACTCTGCTCTGTTATGTGATGAATCCTTCCACGGTCCGGAGCGTGGTGGCCCTTGCTGCTCATTGGACCCTCTGTGGCAGTACACAGTGGCTCAGGATAACCCTGTCCGCGCTCCCTCCGTGTCCCCACACCAGTCAGCAAGGCGGGGCCTCATCTCTCCTGCCGAGCCCTGTGCCAGGGACTTGCTTTCTTAATGGTGATAAAATACAAGTTAACTTAGCTTCTTGTTCCTTCCCAAGTTCATTTAAATAGGTGCTGGTGTTTTTTCTCTCCCTGATGATGCTGATAACTTCCCCTATAGGAATAACAAGTCATCTGTGAAATACTAATTATTATTTTTCTTCTCAGGATGAGCTCGACCTCACAGACAAGCACCGGGAAGCTATGTTTGCACTTCCAGCTGAGAAAAAATGGCAGATATACTGTAGCAAGAAAAAGGTAAGATATCCATTGTATATATAGTTAACTAGAAAAATGTTCATTCTTTGATTGCCTTTGCTCTTCCAGCTCACCACCAGAATACAGACAGCTCTTTATAACATGCAAATAGATTGAACACATCCTGTTGTGATTTGGGTGCTACATGTGGCAAAGTGCCAACTCCTTGGATATTGTTTTTCTCAACATTTTACCGGACACTCCTCCACCCTCTACCGGTAACCGTTATTCATAATCCTATACAACTGAGCCCCCAAATAACATTGATTTACACAGCGATCAAAGCTTTTTCCCCGCTCTTTACCTAAAAGCTTATATATGGGTAGGTTAGGACTCATATGATGGGGTCACAGCCCTCTGTGATCACCTCCTAACAACTTTTCGTCTCACCAGTCTAAGGCCTTCTCCTCCTGGTCTGAGGTGGCTCTCCAGCCATGTCACATTCCACACTGAGGATGGAAGAAAGGGAAAGAAGGCAGAGCTTCCCCTCCTCCAGTCCTCGGGACATGTCCCAGGAGTTAACACACCTGAGTTTCCCCTTACATCCCACTGTTCTCAATGGCCACACCTCATTGCAAGGAACGCAGGCCTTATTCTGGGCGGTCACCCCCCACTTAAAAAACTGGGGTTTTCTTACCTTCATAGAAGGGGATAATGGATATCAGGGCAGCGAAAACACTAAAGCTGTTATTCCCTAGGGTCCATGTCATTAGGCACCAACCCATGGGCTGAATTTCCTGCAATAAAGTTCGGTCTGTCATCTTTTAAATGCTGTGGCCAGTCCTTGAATTGTTCCCATCCCGTTTTTTGGAACCAGTCCTGTTCATGGCCATCTTTAGCCACTTTTTCTTCTGTTCCAATTGAGACTTGAATCAAGATGGGGGAAGGACAGGGATAGCACCTAGGACAAATGTTACCTCTCTCCAACAGGCAGACACTCCGATGACTCACTCTTGCCTCAAGGAAATAAGAACAAACTCTAGCAATCCAACATCTTTTTAAGACACAGTATCAGTCAGAGAAGCCTTTTCTTAGGTGACTTGTATGCATTTGGGGACCTCCTTTGCCCACATGGGTGTCTCTCAGCACCTCTGTCCCCTCTGAGCTGTCCTGTGTAATTGGCATGCCATCTCCCAGGAACATCTGTCTTGCGTGAGCCTCCGTGTGCCCCTCTCCAGCCAGACTTTATGCCTCTGGGGCTGAGGCACCATGTCTTACTCCCCTCTGTAACTCCCGCTTCTGACACTTGGAAATGAATATCTGATGAGTGAACCGGTAGGTTATCATTACTGTTACACTGAACTGTCAAACATTTAAAGCACATTTAATTTTCCACCTGAGCAGTTACACTTGATAAAACTATGTGTGGGGTTTGGTTCCGAGGCCTTTGCTGAGAGACATGCCCAGCTGTCACCTCTCAGTATGATCTCCAAGCCAGTATCAGATCAGATCAAGTTCACATCAAGTTGGGGTCTTAAGGGTTCCTAATCCAGTCATAGCCAGTAAGATATGTTGGTGAATGAAAATTTCCTCTTCTCCTCTTTCTCTTGGTACATATCTTACCAACTAGAACACCTCTCTTTTGTTGAACTGATTGTCATGGCTCAGGAGACAAATAGAATACACTGGGAAAGAATTTTAAAATGAAAAGAAAGTGTGCACAACTCTGAAAGGGATGGTATTGTAAGGTCTTTGGAAACAAGGGAACTTTGCGCATAGCCTTCTTAAAGACTTGGCCCCTAGAACTGAGAAGGAAAAATCTTCAAGTGCTTTTGTATACAAAGGACGTTATCTATTTTGGCTCATCCGAGTGCCGGTTTTTTTCCCTCAGAATTAGGAAACAGTATGAAGTGGGGATTGAGAATATGAACTGAAGGAAAGGAAAAGGCAGGAAAATGGGAGCCACTTACTGAGGGGAAAGTTTTCTTCTTTCCCAGATTTTATTACACCCTTGACAGCAATTGAAAGTTAATCATAGAACTACTGCCCCTTAGATTAGAAAAGGCAAACCCTAGAGAATAGTAATGACCTCGGGCTCGCAGCTGCTGCTCATTTTTCAATTTCCAGGCCTATCAAATCCCCTTGCAAAGCTTGTCTCATGTGCGCATGCGGGGTTGGCTCTTTGGAGGAGGAGGATATAGATGTGGCCACTGGCTCAGAATCCCCTTTCTTGATGGATGGGCCCTGCTTGCGAGAACCTGGCCAGATTGCATAGATCTTTGAGAATCTAGTTCTCCTGCTAGCTTCATTCCAGCAACTTGGGTTCCCTATGTGACTTAGAAGTGGCGCAGCTGAGGGGGAAAGCCATTTTAACTCATTGGGGAGCCCCACGGTCTTATAAATGCCTCACTTCAAAATGGATGGTAGCATTGCTTGACTAATGGTTTTCTTGATTAGAACTTCTCAGACGGTTAAAACTGTGCGATACCTTTGGTCTGAAACTGACCACGTTGAGCACTTAGTAAACTGGGAAATAACACGATGACTAAGAGAACACAAACCTAAGCGTGGAAAGGCCATGATGTTTACCTCTCGTTCAAGAATGGGGTCCCTAAGGGACAGGTTGCCCATCTCGGAATGGAACTCACAGTGGCCTTCCTTAATACTGACAGCAGATTCTTTTTCTTGGACCATCTTTTGTGTGGCCTTTTCAAATCAGGCTTGTCACCAACAAGCCGTACCAGAGGCTGGGGGACAGCTGCATACCCATGGCTTCTTCACATTTTTCATCTTTCAAGATTAGAGCCCAGGGCAGGACAGACATTCCCACACATACATAAGCCACAGAGTAAAGGCCCATGAAGCCAACGGAAATGGGCACATGAGTTGGTGACAGGCAGGCTTTCTGTTTAAAAGTGCACACGGCTGTTAACTGAAGGTGGAGCCAGGCCTTTCTCAGCCACGTGGCTCTTTTCCCCCCGAGTGACTGGAGTCCCAGCAGTGGCTCTCTGCTTATCAAGCTCTGTGTTCATTTCTCAAGCTTCTCTATCTAAGTCTCTGGCTGAAAACCTATTTCCAGAGCCAAAATGAAAGCAGCAAAAGTATTTCTGGGGCTAAAAGAATTGGAAAGAAACTAATTGGAATTTTGCCTAATTGAGTAATCCGGGGGAGAGCAAGAGATGGATGCTGTGGCCTTGTTGAAAGCCCAAACAAATCTGTAAAAATGACTGGACTGGTTGGTCAGCCACAGTTTGTCCAGCAATCCACCGTCAAATTTTTTAACTTTCATGAAAAGTCCAAAAACCAGGTCCTGTTGGTGGGGTTGGGGGTATTTTCAAATAGGAAATGTTTGTGGTTCTTATCTTTAAAGGTAATTCCCTTTTTAGTTCCAATCACAACATACTCTTTTGTTTAAGGGAGGTTTTCCCAGTCTCCAGCCAGAAACTGCATCTGTTAACAATCTTTTGGATTTTAAACTGAAGCTTTTTAAACAATGAACCATCTGACCACGAAAGGCATCTGGCTCTGCTGTATTTGCTTATTGTTAACATGATTTTTAAACCCTGGGAAAAGTAAGGAGTAGGTCCTCAGAGAAGAGAAAATAAAATGGTGTATAGACTGCCTTATGGTAACAGCGATCTTGTCAGCACAGATGGAATCTCCTTTCATTACAGTTCATTGCAGGAGCAATTGTGCTATTTGTCACTTAACCAGGCCTTAGAAGTATCCAGGAAATACTTTTTCTCCATCCTTGAACTTCAGAGTGTGCAAAGTAAGTGAATGGAGCTAGACACTGTTAGCTGTAGTGACATCAGATATTTGAGACGAAGATCAGGATTTGATGACTACACCTAATTTTTCTCTCCTTCCATTTCGGATCTCTGAAGCCAAGGCTTAAGTACATGGCTTTGTAGTCTTCACATTACATTTCTGTATCTTTTTTTTTCTTTCCAGTATTTTTATTATTTTAAAATTATATTTATACAAATAATGCATAAACACATACTTCTTTAAAAAGAAACTAAACCGTCCTCACCGCCAGCTCCAATTCTAGTCAGCCCCAGAGATAAGTAATGTTATTAAGGTTATGCGTGCTTTTTCAGACCTTTTACTCTTTTTTCCCCTCTAAATATATTTGTACGAAGGACATAGTAATTCCAATTGCCCTGTGTTTGTTTTTTGAAAAAGGGTATCAAACTATAAATCTACTTTCTTATTTTTGTTCAGTGTTATATCTTGGAGATATTATTATGTCTAAACATACAGATCTATCTCATACTTCCTCTTGCATAGTATTTCATAATATAGAAATAACCTTTCTTCAGTAATCGCCCTGTCAACAGGAATTTATATTATTTCACACCCTTCCTTTTTTACCATTAGAAATAATGGTCTACTGAATACCCTTATACATATCTTTATGCACATGTGAGTATTTTTCCAAAGGAGTTAATTGGGGAGTAGAACTGATGGGTCAGATGGCATTTACATTAAAATTTTTAACATATACGCTAAGTTGGTAGGGCATCCCAACTTTTTATATTCCTGACAGCTACATGTGAAAATAACTCTCTTTATACTTCGTTAATATCTGATATTACCAAACTTTATTTTTCCCCCCAAACTGATGAGTCAAAAATGGTGTGTCTTTGTTTTAATTCTTATTTCCTTGATTATTAAGGAAATTGAGCTTCTTTTCAAGTATTTTTTGGCCATTTGCATTTCTCATAATCCCGTGTCTATATGTATATTCATTTTTATTGGGTTGTTGGTGATTTTCTGATTAATTTGTAGGTGTTTAACAATATTCTAGATTCTAATCCTTTGATATATAAAACAATAATTTTTTTCAGTCTCTCATTCAGTTATCTATATAAATTGGTGTGGTTTTTTTTTTACAGGGTTGGGAGAAAACTGTAGGTACAATTTTGTATTTTGTCTCTTTTCACGAAAAATTATACTGTTTCCCCAATCTCACATTTCTGTATTGTTTGAGGTTTACTTGGAGAAGGTGAATTTTGACTCTGATGCTGAGTTTGATTCTAGCTTCATTAAATCAT